AGTTTCAATGCTTTTCTTTTCTCTTCCTTCTCCTAGTTGTTTTCAACTTTCATCTGCTTCTCAAAATTCTCTTCATTCTGCTTTTCCTCATTTTCTTTCTCCTCTTTCATCTCTTTATCCCCCTTCTCCCATTTTGTCTCCATCTTCAGCCGTTCCTCTTGCCGTTTGCCTATCCTTTTTGTTCATTTTATCCTCTTCTACGTTTTTTCGTTTTTTTTCATCTTCTGTCCTCCTGTTCCATTTATTATTCCTAGCTTTATCCATCTCTTTTCTCTCCCATTCTCGTTGTCATTCTTTCCCTTCGCGTTCTAAGTTGTTTTTCTCTTTGTTTCTTTCAGGTATTGCTTCATTTTTTCTTGTTCTCATTTTTTTGTTTTTCTGTTTCTTTTTTTTCCTCTTCTTCAGCTTCATTTTCTTCTGTTAATTCGTTTTGTCTTTTCCTTCCTTCCTTTTCTTCTTCTTTCTCTTGTTCTCCTCCTGCTTATTTCTCTGACTTTCATTTTCATTATTCTTCGTTTCTCCCTCTTATTTTTCTTCTCCCCCGTCGTCGCCTTTCTCTTCTGATTTTCCCCTTCTTATTTTCTGACATACCGTTTTTATTTTCTTTTTCATTATGCTTCTTCTATTTCTTTTTATCATATTTCTGGCATTTTCTTTGTTTCTTTTGTCTTTTCCTCTTAGTTACTTTCATTGGTTCCCTTTTTCGTATCTTTCTTCCCTTCAGCATCTGCTTTTCCCCTTCCTTTTTCTCCCTTGGCATTTACTTTCCTTTCTGCTTCACGTTTTTTCCCTGCTCCTAATTTTTCCTTGTTACTTTCACTCTTACGTATCTTTCTTTTCTCTCTCTTTCTTCCACGTTCATTCTGTTTCTCTTACTTTCTCGCTTCGATTTTTAAATCTACAACAGTATGTTTAAAATAACTGTGCGCATTGTTTAATAGTTTTTGGTGTAAGGAACATGTTAATTAATTAGTCACTGTTGATTTCAGGAACTTTTCCAACAACTCCGTCATTACAGTTCTGCGGTAAAGAAATCGGCATTGATTCGCTTGAAGGAGTTGCTGTCTTCTTCCTCTGACGTAACCGTAGGCAAGAAGGTCGTTATTTCGCGGTTGGCCAGTTTGATCGAGTGCCTCTTTCCGTTGCTGACGGATTTCGACGGCGAGGTACGTCTTGCGACAGTCAGTGCTTTGGAGACTGTTTTCAAGGCGGTGCCATCTAGTAGCCTGTTTCCGTACTTTGCGTTGATCAGCGCGCACATCACCTGTGCCTTTACGCATGTCAGTCAGCGAGTGAAGCTGGACACAGTGAAGGTATTTCACGCTCTGATGACGTTGCATCCGGAGGTAATTCGACATAATTGGACAATGGTCAAAGCTTACATCGACCTGTTTGTATTTTCAAACGAGTTCCATCAGCACGAAGGTAAAATAACGAACAGCAGATCCTCCAGCGGTGCTGCTTTATTTATCGGCTTTGGCAAAATGCTGAACTACGGTCAAAAATGTGACCTGCTACGTTGCTTGATGACGCTATTCGACATCATTTGTCGGTCGCAGCAGAATAAAAACGTCGCACAACCGTCGAGCAAAGCCGTACGATGCTTTCGTTTTAGTGAGACGAAAAGTGTCGCCTTGCGCGACATTTGCCTCGTCGGCGGCAGCGATTGCGATGACTGTTCAGCGATGTCGATGTTCTTTCCGTTGTATTCGAGACCGGACGACGTGTACGTGTTGAAAAGTTTTGAAACGTCCAATCTTCTGATGCTGTTGAAGCCAATGTCGTCGGTGCTCACCAGTTTCTGGACGGAATTGACGTCGCATGACGAACAAATGTCCATGTCTGGCTACTCGTCTGGTCAGTTGGAGGCGATGCTGTATATTCTGAAAATCTACACATATATCATTCGCATATACAACAGTCAGCAAAGCCACTGTTCCGAATTACGGCCTTTCCTGACCGGTAAGGCATCGAAGTCACAGAAGGCTGCATTCCGGCGCTTGTACGTGGACATCTTCCCATGTGTCCGGCAGCCACGCTCTTCCGCTGACAACAACGCTGACACAACTACCACTGGTGGTGATCTGTGCACTGTAGTCAATCTGTGGTTGTGCCGTTTCGTGAAAGAATATGAAGCACTGTGCGACGTCCGCCTGGTCGGTGACGACTGGATATTGTATCTGGTGGACGCAGTTACTAGGCCAAGGCTGCAGCCGGAAACCCGGAGACTGGCTATCGAGACACTCTACGAGATCCGTCTGTCGATCGATCAGCTATTATCAAAAGTGTACGATATTTTCATGGCACCCCGTGTTTCATCGATGGTCAGGCAGATGCTTGTCCAGCTGCTCGACCATGTGCTGTGTTGCGAGTATGATGGGAGTGTTTCATCATTGACCATGCCCGAGCCGGTCCCTGAGCCGTTTTTGCGTGCCATGCTAGACTTTATTCGTTCTGCCGTTAATTCCAACAGACGTCGCCCCCTGGAGCTTGCCCTCACGTACTTGAGTCGCGTGTTCGTCGTTAACTCCACCTACATGTCCCCAGTCTACATCGATATCGTCGTGGCGTTCCTAACATTGTACCTAGAGAACGTCGATCTGCTGGATGAAGAAGGTCAGAAACAGGTGGTATGTGTTTTCTGTCCGTTCGCGCCATTCAGCGACGACATCTGGCGATTGGTGCTACGGCTGAAAGAACGTCCCCAATGCACCTCTGATTTCTATCGTTTCTGCGCGGGGTCGTTTACCGCGAAATATGTCGAACTTTGGAAGAATCTCAACTCACAGCAGAAGGAGGGCTTCCTCTCTTTCATTGTATCGAACTTTGTGTCCGATGA